CTTTTGTGATAATTTTTGCAAAACCGGATTATCAGTAGTGGGGAGCAAATGGAGAGGTGAAAGTTTTCCCTTATGTTAAAAAAAAAAAAAGAGGGAAAATCATAGTTGTGTTACTACATGTAAAAAAAAGTATACTGTTGGTAAGCATTTTATTAAGGCCAACCCCAAAAGTAGGAAAGAGTGTGAAAGCTTTTGACCACAGGAATTTGTCATCGGCCAGCTGGTGGGAAAAAGGTGGATGTGAAGGAGAGAAGTTGCTTCTTTCACATCCCCTGCATTTTCCAGCATCTTGCTTGGAAACCTGAAAGCTGATGCACTATTTTGTGTTTTTTGAGTGGTGGTGATAAAATTAACATCCAATTTTGGATTTTGAATTCTGTCATGTAGTGACTCAGATTGACATACAAACGTCAGCCTGTCATGTGTATTGGTACTGTTAAAAGTTGTGGAGTGATGGGGGGGAATGATTTCTGTCCTGCTCTGATTGGTTTAATGCAATACCTCTTGCCTATTTTATTTATATATCCTACCAAATAGAGCAGAGACAGTTTGGTGTAGTGGTTAGGGTACCAGGCTAGAAACAGGAAGTGGTGAGTTCTAGTCCTGCCTTAGGCACAAAGCCAGTTGGGTGACCCTGGGCCAGTCACTTTCTCTTAGCCCTAAGGAGGAGGCAATGGCAAACCACTTCTGAAAAATTTTGCCAAGAAAACTGCAGGGACTAATCCAACTCAACACCGACTCAAAGGCGCATGCGCACGCACACACACACTATATAGAGTATCTCCTGGCCTATGCTGGGAAGCTTTCCCAGCACTATCCAAATTTAACTTTTGATTATTCTGGAAAACTTATGTGGGAGAAAGAATGGGTCTTAATAACATGCTATTTAGATGTTTGCTAATGATTTATAATTAGCTTCTTTGGGAGAGACATAATCCCCCCTCCTCACTTACCTCTGGGTATTGTGCAGCACTATTTAGAAGAATAATGATTTGAACCAGCAAACCTTTCAAAAGTGTTAGCAGGGTTTGCAATCATTCTTATAAAAACATGCCCCACCACACACTTGATCTGTTGTCAAAGACAGGGAGTAAGTAAGCTCCACTGAACTGCAGCTTTGTGTAGAGGCGGCTGTCAATTATTCTTTAATTCATCAGTAAGAATGAATTCCTTCTCTTGTTTTTAGGATGCTCAGCTGTGTTAACAGGTTATGAGAATAGAACTGGTGGTTGGTGGAATGTCTTTCAAATAAATGCATTTTGATTTGAAGCTGGAATGATTAAAAATGATGTTTTAAAAATTTAAACATGATTAAAATTCCAAGGTGGGGAATGACAGACCTATTATCCATAGAAATATAATTGCTTCCTCTGAATATCCTTCTTAGAGAGGCTCTATTATGGTTCTTTCAGTGCCTTATGGATGTGTTTTCAGTTTGCAGTATATTTTGGGGCTATTTCAAGCTTTGTAATGTTATGGTGCTACTAAACTTATTTATTTAGTTTTGTAATGTGATCACTTTTTGTTAGTATTTTCCTTTCTTTTTAGGCTTCTGTGATTGTTTTATATTTCCTTGAGAACTACCCAGAGATTACAATTAATTGAGCAGAATCCCTTTTGGGTACATCAAGCCTCAAGCTTGGTATTTTCTGGCTGTACAAAATCCATCTTTTTTAAATGTTGGGTTTCCCAGCCATTAACTCTGCCATTGTTCTTAGCTCGATTTGTGGATATTTTAATGAAATATAGTTTTTCTCATTGCCAATTGTTTCAAGATTTATGCAGATGAGAAGCAGTAAGTATATATGCACGTGTTGTTTATTAAAATAAGTAGACATTTATTTGATTTCCCTCCCATCCCACTCCAAACAGAGAGGTGAGAAATGAGGATCTGGTGGAAAAATGGGACAGCCTCCCAATCCCTGACCCCAAGAAGGTGTGGGGTCTGAGTCCAGCCATGGAATGTACTCTTCTTGAAGGAACTTCTGGTGGGGATCCTCGGCCATTATCTGCTTTTGAGAGGACGGTCAGACGACGAAAAGTCATCATATTCAGGTGAGAGATTGTTGGGTCTTTTGCCTGGGAATTCAAAGGGGGGGGGAGGGGACTGAGAGGAGGAATCACACTATTGTCTTGAGCGGTGTTTCTCAACCTTAGCAACTTTAAGATATGTGGACTTCAGCTCCCAGAATTCCCCAGCCAGCCATGAAGTTGAAGTCCACACATCTCCAAGTTGCCAAGGCTGAGAAACACTGGTCTTAAGAGTCTCTCTTTCTCCTTTTGCAGGCCTGAGGCTGAGGAGCAGGAAACCCCTATACTTCCTCCGGAGCCCCTGGACATAGGCAGAACTTTGCCCCCCCTGTGTGAAGATGAAAGATGGTCACCCAAGAAGAGGCAACGGCTTCGACAGGGCTCCCCCCCGATGGCGGAAAAGAGCAGGGGCGCTTATGGTGGGATGGGAGAGACCCTGTGGCGTGTTGCATCTCCCATGGAGAAGGAACAGCGAAGGGTGCTCGCTGTTGATCTGGAAGACTTTTCCACAACCCAAGTGCCTGTAAGGATGCTGTAAAACATGGGGCACATGTTAAAAAGATGTCTGGGATAGGCTACCAAACTGAATGGAAACAGAGGACGGCAGTTAACTCCATCTTGATGCCTTCCAGTTGCTTCTTTGCTAGAAATGCCTCTACCCTTCGTTCTATTTTTATTCAGGCATTCACATACGGATTTAAAAACCTGTTGAGTATAGTTCTTTGCAGTAGGGAGCTGTATCTCGCAGGCTTTGCATAGACAGATGTCAGTTTCTTGGTTACCGTTTGGGACTGGCCATTCTGAGGTAATAAGCTGGTGCTGTGCCAGCTGAATCAGTGCCCAGCCTCTTTCTGGGCTCTCTGGCTAAGGTACTGGAACAACTCCTTTCTGCAAATCTACCCACAGGTACACTGGAAACTCCACTTGTAGGATTTCAATATAAATGAAAAGCAGGGTACAAAACAACAATCATTTTAAAAATACCCTTTTACAGATGTCTCTTCCACACCAGGCGACCCAGAAAGCTACAAGGGTTGTTTGCCTGATGCCTGATTTTTGTTACTAAGCAGAGGCATTTTGATTTATCTGAGCTGTTTTATGTTTAGAATTCTTTTCAAACCTTCAGGTTATTTCTCCTGTTTCTAATCACTTGTGGGATGGTGATGATAATGATATGCATTTCGGTTGTATTTAGTTACATCCCCAGGAGTGACCTATGATGGTAGGGCAGAATGAGATAGGAAAAAAACTTCTTATAATTCTTCTCTAAAACTCTTCACAATCTTATGTGCTGGAATTTGGATTCTTGCACAGAGCAGGTGACTTGATGAGCTAAATGTCCCTTCCAACTGAAAGATTCTCAGAGTGTGGGAAATCGTTCAGTTCCCTGCTATTTCCTGCACGCGCCATGTTTTGGGTAGCTGAATCAGGAGACTTCGATTGTATGATCTGTGGTTCTCCCTGGCACAGTGGGAGGGGAACCAATTCATCTTTTCTATCCAAAGGGGAACTTCTGTTGGAAAGCAAGTGCGTGACTGGATTGTGGAGTGAGGAAGGGAGGTTTCTGATCTGATGTTCAGAAATGTTTGAAAGTTGGGTTCTCTCTTCCTCTGTCCAGGAGATTCCACCAAGGTGTTTGCTTTTACAAAGGCCGGCCTTGTTTCCTTCCACAAATCCCCTCCAGCTGATAGTTGGGAATGAGACCAAAGTTTCCTGGTCAGGAAAAGGGCAGAGTAGCACTGTGTGCAGGTGAGCAAGGATCCAGGTGACAAAAATTGACTGTGTGGTTTGTGGATGTCAGCAGCTATCTGAAAGCTACCTGTCTGTCTTCCTCCCTCAGATCACTTCCCGCTAAGGTAGGTTCTCAGCCCTGCCAGGAGCCTCAGGAGCAATTGGCTCACACATGCCAGCAGCTGTGGGACCAAAGACTGTCTCCCCATCGCTGCCGTGAGTCAGAGCGGCTGCAAGCCAAGAGGCAGCGCCTGCAGAAGGGGGTTTCCCTAGTAAATGGGAGAGAGGGCGCACAGGCTGTCCCAGAGGAGAAAGCTCATCAGCCGATCCCCAGTTTGGAGGACTCTCAGTTGAACCAAGCCCAGGTGAGTTTGGTGTGGAAAATAATCCTGGGAAAAGTGACAAATGGCCAAACCTTTGCAGGTTGGGGTCATGGGGAAGTGGCTTGGTCCACGTTTTGGTTCAGACATCTTTTCTCGCTGGCAGGATGCCGGCATTGGCAAGGAGCTGCTGGAGGACTTTCCATCCCCCTGCCGGTAAGGATTTTCCCCTAGGTGGAGGAATGATTGTACCATCGTTCTCCCTTCGCTAGGATTATGGTTGTGCAGCAAAATAGCTGATGGATCTTGAGAGTAGCCTTTCTTAACCGGATGCCCTCCAGATGCATTAGCCTTCGAAGTACCATGATCGCCAAACACCATGCTGGTTGGAGAATTACCAGAGTGGAAGCCCAGTATATTTGGAGTCCCTGGGTTGGGGAGGGCTCTTTAGGGGTTAACTCTGATGCTTTTTATCCCACCTTAAAGCCCCTAGCTGGGTAAATCTCCAACTGTCACCCAGTTGGAGAAGGCTGTTCTAGGACATCATTAGGTTGAAGAGCTAAAGCGATTGCCCCTCACTTCCCACTGTTTCTGCTCTTGCTCAGGAGTGATCAGCTAGAGTTGCCTCATCAGTCATCATCTTCCAGTGTAGAAAAGCCAGCGCCTTCAGATCTACATGACCATGGCCATCGCGCAGGTTGGTGGAGCTCTGAACTAAATGAAGTGACCTGGCAGTCTGTCTGTCCAGGTATTTAGGTGATGTGCAAAAGACATGCTTATACCTAAACATTTATAGCAATGGTGATCATCCTTTACGTGGCCAAGGGCTTCATTGTTTTGAGAGGACCTCCAAAGGCTACATAGGAATAGCGCTGAAATGTCCTGCTGTTTGGGGGATGAGGAAGGCAGGGAGGGGATTCATGTCACATAATGCTGTTCCTGAAATTGTTTGGAAAAGATGGGGGGTTTGCATGGCCAAGAGATTCCAGACCAATGTGTAAGAGGAAAGGCACTCTTTTCCATCTTGACTGGTGATGAGAATGCCTCCTCTCCCCTTTATTTATTAGTCTTTGCACACTAGCATTACACACACAAACGTTGGGGATGAAAATGAAGGTGTACCCTTCATACCCTTGTAACTATTTAGCAATATTACTGTGCGTGAGAGAGAGCAAGAAAAGAGGAACAATGAAAAACGGAAGGAAAAGAGAAGAGAAAGATGAGGAAGGGGTGTTCCAGAGTACCCTTGGCTTTGGGCCTTCCCATTGCTTGCCGTATCTCCTAGGAAAGGATGTGATCTACAGCAAAAAGCTGTTCTTTTCAAGGCAAAGTCGGATACTCTCATGTTGATGATCCATGTAGTTTTCTTGGCAATAATATGAAAATGGCTTACCACTGCGCCTTCCAGGATTTTCTTCCAAATCTAGCAACTGCCCTGGAATTTTCTGGGGGTCAGGAGTCTCTCATCTGAGTATTAACCAGATTTGACCCTGCTTAGCTTCTGAAATCAGCTAAGGTCAGCCAGATATTGCCACCTACTAAGACAGTGATCTAGGAGTTTCCTCCCAATTAATTGGAAGTAAGGTTTCCTGACCGCCCATGTCCTTTGAAAAAGCTGTTAGTGGTGTCAGCAAGGGGAATATTTTGAACTCTCCTTTTGTGGCTGTGGAATCATTGTATAGCTGAGCCTCTTGTGGAAATGGTGCTCAAGATACTTCTGCTTTTCCTCTATGGCTGGCTTCCTGCGTAATGGCCGTTTCTTTCCCTTTCCATCAGATCCGTCCTCTGAAACAGACAGCTCTCCTTCGGCTTTGACTCCCTTGCGCCCACCCGTGGTCCCCCGCTTCAGGCACTGGGGCCTGGCCCCAGTCTTCCAAAGCATGCGTTCGAAACTGGAAGCCTTTGCTGACATCTTCCTCAGCCCATCCAAACCATCCCTGCCACCTGCTGAGGGATCCCCCTCCCTGTTACCGCACCCTCCAGGAAATGTGGATGAAGCGGCGGCTCTGCCGGCTACCCCTCGCCCGGGAGTCAAGATTGAGGTGAAAATTGCCATTTCGGAACCACGTCCCCGGAAAAGGAGCTGTTGCCGTGAAGAAGAGAAAGGAGAAGTGAGCAACCTGGTGGTGAGTGGGAGGCCCCCCATCCGCCAGTGGCGCTTGAACGAAGGAGACCCAGCTCCTCAGCCCCGCCTTGGACGTAGCTACTCCTGCCCTGATTTTCCTAGAGCCTGCTCTTGGCAAACCGTCTCTTCTGGGCTTTCCCCATTGTCGCAGCTGCGGCAACGCCGACACACGGTTTGCAGTCTGGAAGTATCTCGAGAACTGGACCGTCCCACTCTGCCCTGCCTGCGCAAGGAAGTCTACCCCTTCAGCACCCCCCCTGCCTGCCTCTTGCTAGGACCCTTGGTTCATGCTGCACACTGTGATCCGTCCTCCTACTCTCCCCTCGCACCATCCTGCTGTCATGAATCTGACCCGGAGCATTCCAGGTAAAAGCTTTTTCATCCCTGTTCCCCAAAGATGTAGGTTACCGCTTGGGAATCTCAGAGAGCCTCAGGTCCACCCTAACGAGGCGAGAGTGGTCTTGAAGGTGCATGCGTATGCTTCATCTCCTTAGAAAGAAAGGAAGGGCAAAAAAGTAACAGGCATCTTGATCCCTCCCTATGGAAAGGCTGCATCTTTCTTTTACAGCATCTTTTTTACATTGGGAGATTTTGGGTGAGGTGTTCTTGGAGTCCAGTCCCAGCCAGCTTGAACTGGAATAATGGGGATGGTAGTCAAGAATATGATGGAGGCTATTGTTGGGAAAGGCTGCTGTACAAGATTTTGAGCAACGGCATTGGAAAGCCATTCTGTAAGATCAAGGGTACACTAGGCTGGGATTGCCTGAGGTCCATCTCTCCATAAGGCATAGCTGCATTTCTGATTCTTGACTAGTTCTGGAATCTGCCTAAGAGAGTCTCTACTTCTTTTGCTTTTTTCCTTGCTCCACCTTTCCCACAACTCCCATGAAGTGTTGCATATTTAATCTTAGGTCATCCTGTTCAGTCAGCTTGCTTGCTTTTTCCTGCAAGATGTGTTGGACTACACAGCTCCTAGCTGTACTCACTGAGGATGTGGGGATTTGTAATTAACACATCTGGAAGGTTAGGAGGAGGAGGTCTGGGAGAAGACTGAACTTAAGTTCTTTTCCTAGTCTGTCCTCCTCTGAACAGATGAGCAGACTCCTCCAGTATGGAGGACATCTTTGACTTGTGTTTCCTTTCCTTTGTCCTTTTAGGAACATCTCCCTCTCCCCAGATGGTGGGCAAAGGGTACCTGCGGTTGGCCTAGGCATGGTTGCATCAGACCAGTTGGTGCTTTCAGAAGTTGAGATGAAGGTCAGTCACTGATGTAGGGTATAACAGAAGAAGTGCTGTGCAGTGAGGGGTGGGGGTGGATTGAGCTGCCCTCCCGTTTTATAGGGTTTGGCTTTCCAATCACGTCCGTTCTTATCCCCACTTAATTTCCCTAAAACCTGTAGGGATCCCAAGAGAATACTATAGGGAAGGTGTCCTGCATAAGAATCCGGAAGACGCCAGCCAGGCACCAGGCCAATCTCACTCCTATGGGGCTTCCCCGTCCGGTCAGGTGAGAGCATGCCCTGAGCAAAATGGGAGAATGTGCCCCAAATGAAAAGGCACTCTGCAGAAAGACGGAGATGGGCTTCAAAAGAGCCCAGTAGTGATCTGAATACCCAGGATTCAGGTTCTCTGTGAGCCCAAGAGCAGGTGGGTGCATTGGGGCAGGGGGCAATGTGTAAGCAGAAGGGGCTGGGCTGTTCTCCAGTGTTAGCGTTCTGTTGCCTGGTCATTTGCTTTTCAGTTGCATTGGAACAAATCTAAGGACTTGCATGTTCTGGTGGTGGGTCAGAGATCGACTTTTGGGAACTCTGAAAGAATAAAGCTAAATAGAAGGGAATCCTGGAATCTTGAGTCTGAAATGTTTTGCAAAGATGCTGTTGGCAATATAGCCCAGTGAGCATTCCTGCCAATATCTAACTGAATGGCAAGCTTAGAAGCTTGTCTGAAAATTGAGAACGTAGCAGGGATAACCCATATGCTGTAAGAGAATATTTTATTATTCTGCAGAGCGATTCTCCTGCCTAACAGATTTTTTCCCCCTACTGGCCAAGTTATCTCAAGGTAATATGTTCTCTTTCTCTCCTTTCTCAGGCTGAACAAGAAAGAGTTCAGTCTGGAAGAGATCTACACAAACAAGAACTATCGCACGCCCACTGAGAAGAGGTGAGAAGCCTGGCTTTCAGAGATGCTGGTGTTTGCCTTTACAAAGGTGCTGCAGAATGGCTTGTATGTTCCCTGTCTTTACAGAGGTTGGCAGGGCTCATACATGGCGGCGTCACAAGATGGTTGGTTTTGTGGTCAAGTATGTTGCATGTACCTCACCATTTATGCACTCTGGTTTATGGCTCAGCAACTTTGGGAAACCAATTATAAATTGTTCTGCAAACCATAGTTAAGGAAACTATAGTACAATGTCTACATTCAGTCCTTGGAGACAGAATCTAGGTCTCACAGCTCCAAATGACCAAGTAGAGTCAACATGCTTGGGAAGGAAATGTATTGGCAGAGTTTCTAACCAAAGATCCTCTGGCAATGTTGGCTGGGAAGGTTGAGGCTATAATGGCTCTGAGGGCACTAGGTGGAAGAAAGCTGATGTGTATAAAAGTACTAGACTGATCTTAGTAGAAACCAATTGCTTTGGAGCAGCAGTGTTGAAAAAGGAACAGAAATGAAGTATCAACTACCTGTTGCTTTAGCATTTTCTCCCTGCTGTGAAAGTGATACAAAAGTTACGTCAGTTGCATTGGACTCAAAATCTGCATCCATCTAGCTGATGGACCACAGAGGACTTACGGAATTCGGCATTGAATAACCATTCCAATCCTGGCTCATCTCATACTTTCTATTTACTGCTGCCATGCAGGATTTCTATGCTGTTTTCTGTAATAAGCTGCCTGTTGCACTTTTTAGAATTTTCTCATTCTTGGGATGGCTTAAGCAGTTCTTTAACAAGTGGGCAGTGAATACAATAGGCTCTAAATCCAAAAGGGAACTATAGATAGAATGTTATTTTGCTGTAGAGGTGTTTTAAATTCTTCCTTGACTCCACATTTACCCCCTTTCAAATTTCTTTCACTCCTGACCTTTTGTGTACCCACCGAGGAGATTGCCAGAATTGTCTGATTACAATGCAATCCCACGCCTAACCTTCAGAGTGTGCTCTGCACTTGATGGCCACATGAATGCTGGCATCTTTTCCCCCAGCTGTAAATTATTGGGAGTCAAGAGGACTTTATAGTTAAATCTGTCCTTCTTCTAACTTGTTGGACAGCCACCAGTCTAAGCTGGTCTCATTATTAGGAATCTCAGAGATGGCTTCTTTTTAAATTTGGTGACCCATCTCCTCTCTCCTCGCAGATCATTTGAGACCATATTTGAGGTACCACTGGAACGCAATGGAGCCCTTGTCTTCACCAGCCAACGCAAGCTGAAGAGGGCGATGGAGTTCAGGGAGGGGGGCCTTCCCCGCAAGCAACGCAAACCCCGCTTTCGAAGAGGACGTAGGGCAAGGGGAAGACGGGCTCAGCCCCAGTCCACTGAACTGGAGGAGATGCTACAGCAGCGGCTGGCTGAACTGGATGCCCTGTTTGAGGAGGACATGTGTTGAAGAGTCTACATACACTCTCAAGAAAGAAAAGTATCTCTAGGAGGCCTTACCTTTCTATCTTTCCCCCTTCCCCCAAACCACTTCTTTCTCAAACCACTCATGAGTTTTGTCTGATATTTTTTCCCCAAGCACCAAGTCACCATGAGCACTCCAGCCTTCTCCCCGGTTCTCTTTATTCACCGTATCATTCCCACCTATTGATCTCCAGTGACAGTAGTTTCATCATCCAGGGATAATAGGTTGTCCTCCAAGCCACAGATGTTATGAACATGGGGGTAGCTGGACGTCACCCAGCAGCCTCCCTCAGCTAACTGCCTCCTTGCCTGATTGGTCATTTTGCCAGTCCCCTTTTTCTTTGGTTCATGAGCCTGAACAACAGAATGTTGGTGATGCCAAAAACATGGTGGTGCCCATTCCCTGCATTCTGCTTCCAGTGCATAGTCAGACCATCAGTGCCTCACCCAGGAAGAGCATGCGGACCCATCAGCAGGGGATTTAGCACAGCAAGGGATGTGTCCAACCATGTGGAGATCAAGTTACCCATACCCTGTGGCTGCCATCTTGACTAAACCAGAAGACTGGAACATAAAAGCCCATTGATTGCAAAGGAATGACAGGAGAGAAAGAGCAAAAGCAGGCTTGTAATGGGGCAGGAGTAAAAATGGGAAGGAAGGGAAGATGTGTCAAGAGGCTGGGAAAAGATAGATGTCCTCAGCAGTTGTTGGAACATAAATGGCTGTGAATCCTGCTTCAGTATTCCTAGTTTAAATGGACTTGCTGGGATTGTGTTCTGTTAGGCATGGCGGGGTGGGGGTGGGGAGTTGTTTGCATTTTTGTATTAATCTATATTTCTAATAAACTTTTCTGCTTGGGAGAATTTTTTTTAGCTTTTTTTTCAGTTATTCATTTTCCAATCTTGTTTACGAGGATGCCAAAAATAGCTCATAGGTAAGTTTCAGGGCCAGTGTTCCCTCCACGTCTAACAAACTGAAGATATAGCTGTGGACTGACTTCATTTGGTGCTGCAGGATCAAGTCCATGTGGTTGCCTTTCCCTAAAGTATTGCTTTCAAGACACAGACTCACAGATAGTGAAAACTAACCAGTACTATTGATCTCTTGTTCTTGCCTTAAATTAGTAGCAAGAGACATCTTTTCTTTTTTTACTGTTGTGAATAAAAAAAATTCTCTTTCCCCAAACACATTTGGTTTCCTTCCCTGTTGTTCTTTGCTTCTGTTTACTATCACAATTTCTAAAATCAGCTATAAACTATTAAAATCCACTCTACAGTGCCCTATACCACTTGCAGTAACAGAAAAAGTGGGGAACGTATTGGCAGGTGATCACGTTGTTCCAAATTTGAGAATGGTTTCTTTTGAATGTCCCCATTTTGAGGACACTTGGGTCAGTCTCTGTGATTTTGTTGCATAGGCCTGGTTTCAACTTGAACCCGGATTCCCTCCATTTACTACAGAAGTAGTCGGTGGGAGCCTGTTAGAGGCAGAAATTGTGGAGTCCTTGGGGTTCTCTGAGCTTGGTGGTTTTCTTGCAAACATTTCATTACCTAGCCCCAAGGACTCCACAGTTCAACTCTGAGCTACATATATTCTGTTCCAGAGGCAGAAATTGCTTCCCCATTCCTTCCAAAAACACCTAAAAATTCCGATTCTTAACATTTGTGTTCAGGTATGATGTCATTAGGTGCCTCCATAACTCTGGGCTAGTTTTTCTGCAGTAGATAATCTGTTCCCCCAGACAATGTTATTTGTGTTGCTCTTTAGATTGTACCTGGCCAGAGTCAGATGCAGATATGGGATGAAGCCAGCTGTTTTGCCCTTCTCATACTGCACAATTCAATTGGCTGTTGAAATGTAGGTCTGAGAATTTGTCTTCTGTCAATTCTACTTGAGATGGACTCAAGCTGTCCGAACAGCTAAATGTACTTACTTAATTAGTTAATTAATCTTTATTGCAGCCAAAGCCAGAGATAGAAGTATATCTGAAAACACAAGATAAAAGATAAAAGAATACAGAGAGCCAGTTTGTTACAGTGGTTAAGGTACCAGACTAGAGACCAGGAGTTCTACAGACAATTGAATTGATATAAGAAGTATGTTAAAACTCTGGGAGACCTTTCACCAACTGATGCCTAATTTTCATAGCTGCTGCACAGAAATTTGGTATCATCTAAGTTACAAACGATTTATAACCTGAAAAAAGGATGAAAGTATAAGTATTGTCAGATCGCCCAGGGTACTGATGTAAAAGAGGCAGGATATAAGCATTATGAAAATCTGTAAAGATGACACAATAACATGATGCGTGTTGGACTGTTTCAACATCTCCATAGGCAAATATATTTCTCAAATGGGACTTTAGAGTGTCTTCCCTGTAATAATGCCAAGGGCAAAACATTATGCCTTGCCCAAAAGAAAGCTTTCCTTAGTTTGGGGAATGTCAGTGAAGAGACAGCTGGCTGTTTCCCAAAAGCTCTTAGTTGCCCAACTCCTATTTCTCTGTGACAAGATATTTACTTCTGCCTGAAATCCAATGCCATTAAATCTTTGGAGAAGTGTATGTTTGGCATGGTCATAGCCCAAGGTTCATAGAGACTCTGATGATAACTCACAAGTCATGAACTGTTGTTTTATGACATTGTTCCAGCTTATGGGGAAGTTATCGATCATTAATAATGGGAGTAATCTTGGGGGAAAGAACTGGGCCTTCAGCCAGTAGTTTAACATCAACCTTCATGCCCTAACATCAATTTTAGGTATCCCTGTTTCTAGCCTGAGGAGAGCACTGGCAAATCCTCTGAGTGAATACATTGAGTACTATGGTATATGATCAACACTTTGGATGTCTGGAATTCAAAATGAGGCCTTGAAAATGATGAGACCCAAAGTGTGGACTGCTCTCCTAGAGGTTGGATTATGGTTGCCATACCGAAACTACAAAAATCTGGATGCCCAGTAGATGGCAGCAACAGATAAGCATGTTATGTATCTCTTTGCTGCCATCTAGTGGTCACCTGCATGTTTGCAACCTAAGTATGGTAATTCAAAGTTTGTTTATTATTCATTTATCATATTTATATAGCTGCCCATCTCACACAAAGTGATTCTGGCTTTGAGGACATGGGTTTGTTTTCAATAGAATAACAAGTGGCAATCATTCTCTTGCCTCACACCATTGAATCGAATGTGGGACTACTTATCACATCAGAGTAGCATGTTCAAGTAGAAACAGTGTTCCTTAATTTCATAAATTGGGACTGTTTTACAGTGAAAATCAGAATCTAACAATGCAGTATCAATAAATACCACTTTATCCCTAAATTAAAAAAAAAATAAATTCCCCCTCCTAGGAAACAGAAGTGGATAAGAAAAACGGAAATAAATATTATATTGGTGAAATTACTCCTGGGAAACACTGTGTGAGACAGTGATTATGTCCTGACATTTCACTTAGCAGTACTGCTAGTGTTAGAGTAGATCTGAAACTGAACTTGGCAATAGATGTCACATCCTTATACACTCCCTCTCCTCAATGGGTGGAACATCCCAAAGAACTGCTAGCTGCCATGCAGATGAGAATTAAGTTTTCTCCTTATTTCAATGATTTGGATCTTTATACATTTCTGTTACCTAGAGAAATGTATGGCATCATGCTAGGATGCCAACATTCTCCAGGTTTACTTTGTGATTTGGCATTGGTGTTCATCCAGTACAGACTGTCCTATTTTTCAGCCTGTATGTTCCTTCCATGTTTTTTAATTCTATGGAATGTTCAGTATATACAGTTGCATGCCAAAGTTTAGGTATGTCTGGTATAATTGTATGTTTCAGTGAGAATCCGTAAGTGAGCAGAAGCCAACACAACTTCTACAGCATATAACACAAAATTAAACTTGAGATGTTTCTGCATACTTACTATTTCTGTACAGTTGTTTACAGATTCAAAGGAAGAAAACCACGAATATGGCAGGTGCAGATGTCTGGACATCCTTGAATCAGTACTTCATAATACCTCAACTGGCAGAAATAATAGCATCCAAACATTTCCTGATGTCAATTAAGAATATTTTTATTCTTGCTTTTGGGGTTTTTTTTTCACACTTTCTTGCAAAACTCTTCTAGTTCAGAAATATTCTTAAGTCTCCTTAGATGCACAGTGTGTTTTGAGATTGTTTCACAGATTTTCAATAATATACATGTCTGGGGAGAGTGAAAGTGATTTCAAAATCTGGATTTTTCTTTCCTTTAAGTACTTCATGACTGATTTGGAGATATGTTGTCTTGCTAAAATATCCAACCTTTTTTCCAGTCTCAATTTCTTCACTGTGGGATATGTTGATATTTGGGGAATCCATTCTTTCTTGCACCCACACAAAACTTTCTGTACTGTTGGCAGCCACGCGCTCCAAAACCATAACAGAATGACTCTCATGCTTAATGGTTGGTAAAATGATATTTTCTTCAAATTCTTTACCCTTTGTTATTCAGATGTATCTTATGTGGCTATGGCCACATTTTTCCAGTGTCAGCTACAGGAGCTCATTTGCAGTGATCTGTGAGTTCTATTTTGCAGATCTGACCATTTCTAGCAGAGAGAGAGTGTGTGTGTTGGGGGGGGGGTTGGTGTATTTATTTCAGATCTTGCCTTAACTTCAACAATTCCATATAATTTCCATTTCTTAACAATGTTTCTCACAGTTAAAGTTGCTAGCTGAAACCACTGAGTTTTATAGCCTTCCCCTGCTTTCTAAGTGAAAATTATAGTATATTTTTTTTCTCAGATGCTCTAATAATTTCTTAGCTGGTTGTTGAAAGTGGACTGTGCAATTACAATCTGAGAGGTGAAAAGAATCAAAGTATTTGCACTCCTGTGAAAATTGTCCTCACTTGACTAACTGTATGAGTCAATCACTTTTTGGGCCTTATTAACAACTCTATAAGCACTAGTTCCTGGGTTAAGCGTGTCCGGTTTATGGATGGCCCATAGTTAAGAACGGAACCTACTGTAGCAAAATTGGAGTTAAATACACAATGGATTAATGTAGTACTTTTTAC